TATATATATATTACTATTTGTTTTTAAAATTACGCAACTATATAAAAGAATTTGAGCTGAAAGTAACAAGTGCATCTCTATATGCTATGCACACCTTTCCCTGCCTACTATACCTGCTACAAAGGCACACATCTATCCCCACCTACTAAACAACGTGCAATTAGGGATGGATTGGATCAAGTAGGATTGTCATATTGGAGGATCGTGTAATACTTTTGAACAGACCTAAAGACAAGGCTAAAATAGTGCAACATTTTCTTGTAATGATAAATTCAAATAGTAGCCAGCTTTTGGTACATTACTTTGAAGTGAGAATGCTTTCAATTAGCAGCAAGCTAGCAAGTCTTCTTGCAATGGAAATTGCCTCCGCAAGAAGGAAGTGGTTTAGTAGAGTGAATTACATTCAGTTGCCTGAATTCTTTTAGTAAAGAAATTCTTTCCACCTGGTGATCATTGATCTAATATAACTATCATACCAAGGATAAAATAATGGACATAACTTCTGTGCTGACCTTGCTTAAAATCTGCGGCAATGAGAAATATTGAAGCATGGTTGTACAGAATTGTTCAAGTTGGAGTTACACCATCATTGAATCTTGCAATGGAAGCGCTCTGGTACTTGTTAGTTAGGATTCCTGCTTCTTGAACGGAAGAACTTATAGATATTCCTCGACTATTACTCCACTCCTCGGTCCATTGATGGTCTCGCCAATCTTGCACAAAGGGGGATGTTGAATGATTGCTGAGTGTTTTTGGATACCATCATGAGACAAAATGACAATCTTTTCGCAACCCAATGTTTTTTTCCACGGAGCAGTAACGTTGGTGTGATTGGTTAGGTAAGAGCAATCTATGCTACAAATCGATTTTGTCGTCATGTTTGTCCTCCTCTATTATGAATAATCCACCCAACAAGGACCTTGATCTTTAAGATTTTGCTCATAAACCCTGCAAGAGTAATAAATGCATATATTTCTTAAACAGAAAATCTTGCTATGATTTGTTTCTCCACTTCAGTTTGGATGCAAATCGCTGTGATTGCTTACTTCTGAAGATGCAGCTCGATTTGTTTCTTTGACTTCTTTGCAGGAGTTTTGCAAATGTGAAACACAAGTATTTAGGCCCATAACCAAATATTAAATGCTTGAATAGCTCGCAATATGCAGCCAAATATTAGATGCTTCAATAGCTGAGGATGATTGTTCAACAAAAAGCTGCACGCCACAACAATTAATGATGATTTACCTTTCTCTCACTGATTATAACAGAAAAATGCATATTTGAGGATATCAGATGATCGTGTTTCAACTTTCAAACATAACCAACTAAATTGATACGGGTATATTCAATTCAACATCTTCAGCTTCTTGTAGTAATCCGTCGTGGTAACATTTTTCTTGATTCAACATCTAGAGCTGTCGCTGTCAGGATATCCTTTCATGTATAGTGGTATTGTTGTTTGATAACCACTCCATGAAACTTTTTCCTTTACCAATGAAACATCCAATGTTCTTCCTATCAATCCTGAGTGGACATCCTACCCGTAGAAGTAATTCCTTGATCAACCCTTTCACTGGGGATTCTCCTCTAACAACACTGTGTTTTCCCGCTCCACATACCACTGTGATTTCAGCAGGAAGAACGCGATTTTCAGCAACAAGCTTGCACTGAAGCTGATGAAACCATTGTAATATGATCACATAAGCAGAGCTCAAATGCATCCCATGCAAGTCCAGCTTCAACTCCGAAGGATTCCACTGCATTGTCTCCTCCAAAACCGATGATCCAACCAGTATCTTCACCAAACTCGCTTCATTCTCATTCAAATTCGCCAGTAACTCTTCAAGAGAAAGAGGAACACTCTTCGGATCTTGCAGCAAAAGACTAATCGTGGGGCACGAATTCAGCACCGAATTGTAAGTCCTAATAGAAAACGGAACACCTGAAACATCCATTTTTTGGAGCCACGAAACCATTTCTGAAAGCTCGTACTGAGATCCAAATGAATTAAGCACCATATTTGCGCCAACTGTATCTAATTGAAGTCCCATACTCTCCATTTGACCTACAATCCTTTTCATATCACTAAAGAATCCTGATTTACCATATGAATAAACTAGAGCTCTAAATTCAAACTTTGATAATTTCAATCCTAATTCCTTCATCTCTTCAATCAATTCCTCAGCGTCACGCGGTAATCCAATAGAACAAAATGCATCCACCATCGAGGCGTACCCTTGTTGCTTCAGATAAACAGACGAGGAACATGAGAGAAACAACTTCAATTTTGTGCAAAAATCCAAAACACCTTTTTCCGATTTGTGCTTAGATTGCGAATGGATCAACTGAGAGTAGAAACTACACAAATCTCGTTCTCGGCCTCCTAATTTAGAAACCGTTTCAGTAACTAGGGTTTCAGCTTCATCAAATCTCTCTAGCTTGTAAAGCAAAGCAACCAAGTCAGCCACTAGCTTCGAATTCCAATCAAACCATGACGCTTCACTGATTTCCAAATACAACTGCAAATAAACATTTTGCCTTGCATTCAATCAGACTTATGGTAATAAAAATTAAGCAAGAAATTGGAATAGATTTAAGTTTTATACACTGGCAATGAAGATTATTTTACACTATCAATGAATTGCAACTTGAAATAGTAGGTTAGTTATCATTTTTATCAGATTACTAATTAATGCTTATCACAAGATTTTTATGTAAGAGTTTAAGTTATATACACTGTCAAGGTAAAAGAAATTTTTATTCTCAGTTCATCCAAAGAATGACAAAAGTGGGTTGCTCTAGTGGTGAGCACCCTCCACTTCCAACCAAGAGGTTGTGAGTTCGAGTCACCCCAAGAGCAAGGTGGGGAGTTCTTGGAGGGAGTGAGCCGAGAGTCTATCGGAAATAGCCTCTCTAACCTAGGGTAGGGGTAAGATCTGCATACAAACTACCCTCCCCAGACCCCGATTATAGTGGGTTGTTGTTGATGTTGTTGTTCATCCAAAGAATATCTATACGTAAGTCTATGTGTAATCTTGAAAATAAGATATATTACCTTCTACAACAACTAAAAGTGACCTCATAGTGCAAATTTTACTTAAACTGACAAAATATATAGCTTAAATTCTACTTTAATTACCTAATAAGTTAGTATCTGATTGTGCAAGTATTTTTTACACCATCTGGCATAGTATTTAAACATTGAAATACAAAATAATACAACTGCAAATACACATTTCGCTTGGCAGTGAATCATTCTTAGCTTAATCAATGAGAAGGACAAACTGAAATAGATGATAACAGAGAGACGTACGGGAAGGGCAAGAGAAGAAAGGCGAAGGTGAGAGGTAGTAGGCGATAAGAGGTGAGATAGAGTACTGAGAGCGACGTGTTTTGAAGATGAGGCCACGAATTTGCGGAGTAAGCGGTGAGTAGCGGATATATCGTCGGAGTCGGTGGCGATAAGGGTGGAAATAAAGCGGTGGCCTTGTTTGCTCAGCGAGCACCGAGGACTACCTGACTGTGAGTGGCGGTTCCGGAGGCTTATCCGGTGACTTGGCAGCGGCACCGGCGCCGGAAGTAGGATACTTCCGATCATGTTTTGGATAAATAATCGAATCTATTGTGTGAAATGGCAAAGGTACAAATTTGCCCCTAAATTTTTTACAAATGGTTCAGATTTGCATATGTTACTAGTTGCGGTTAGATATAAAAAAAAAAACTAAATTTGTCCTTATTGTGTTATGAAATGATAGTACGCTGAGCTAAAAGAGTATTATGTTAAGAAGTTAACAGTTGTTAGAAATTTCTTATGTTTATATAGTTTTGTCCCTAATTTAGTTGTAATTTTCAATTGAGTCCCTGTATTAAGAAACTTAGGGGTCGTTTGGTTTAGAGATAAATTATACTTGGATTAATTATATAGGGATACATGATATAGGACTATAATATTTAGTTTGATATATTACAAAGCGATTTTTTCCTTCCTATACAATATTTGAAACTTATTTACCAAAATTGTCCTAATTTTGTATATAACCCGCCCTAAACAAGAATTACTTACAAATTATATACGATCCATTATTAGTATCTTAAATTAGAGGATTTCGTTACATAATTTTTCTTTTTTCTCTCCTCTCCTCTTTCCCTATTCACTGTCGTCTCTCTCATCAATTTTTCCTTCTTTCTTGATCACACACTCTCTCTCCCTCCGTCTCTTTTCCTCTCAATAAAATTTGTGAATGAAGTTGCAGATATGGAGCCCGTGGAAGATAGCACAACTGCACAATATATACATGGCTTGAGGAATGAAATGAGCAGTTCATGGTTTTCGGGGGGGGGG